TACAGGGAAGCTGGCCCAGGGCTCATACTAGGACTCCGAGGCGCAGAGAGCGCTTTGACGTTCCCCCATGAGCCGCAGCTCGGGTCTAGAACCAGGGGAGGGGTCCTGCCTAGAGCAGGGGGCTGGACTTGATGACCTTCTGAGGTCTCTTCCAGCTCTATGGTTCTATGAGGAGAAGGGGCGTCAAAGCCGCGGCTGCAATTTCCACGCCCCATCTGCACAGGAACGTTTTGGCCTAAGCGCCGACTCTGTGGGGTGTTCTGGGGCTCCATCGCCTGTGGAAAAGAGTTAGAGGATGCTCCACGCCCAGCCCCCCCCCCCCCCGCCCCCCCGCCCCCTGCCACCCCTGCCAATCAGCACCCCCATCCGCAGCCAGACGGGACTGTCAGGCAGTAGGTAGAAGAGACGATTTATTGATTCACAAGGACACAGCGTAGCACAAACATGTTGCTACAGGAACCAGGAGCATTCAGCGCAATCCATCTTGGGGATACGGAAGCCTAGAACCCAGGCTCTGGGCCCCCCAAGCCAGCTAGGCTCCCTGCATCCTAAACCAGCTCCCACACTCAGCAAGGGGGCCCAGACGTGCAGGGAGCTCTGCCTCCTCCTTAGTCCAGCTTCCAAGGCAGAAAGGTGTCACCTGGTTGCACCCCCCCAGCTAGGCTCAGGTTACAAGAGGGTCTGAGCCTGAAGCAGTCTCCCTTTGGTGGGAGCTGCACCCCAAACTCCCATCCCCAGCTGGGCTCAGGGAAACTGAGGCACGCACACAGCGTTACGACAGTACAGGACAGCAGAAATCACACGCCACAGACCAAAGCGAAGGGCGCGACCAGGGCTGGCCCGTGCATAGAGGCACAGGACAGCAGAAAACACACTCCACAGAGCAAAGCGAAGGGTGCGACCAGGGCTGGCCCGTGCATAGAGGCAACCTCGGCAGTCGCCTAGGGCACCGCGTTAAGCATGGCACCCAAGGATGACGCAATACCGTTGAGGGCTTTGGAGGTGGGAGTGCCAATCGCGCATTCCGCTCATCTCGGGCCGCCACTGAGCGTGACCTCTCTGCTTTGCCGCAAAGTCCACACAACAATGGAATGGCTCGCTGGAGTCAGCAGCTGAGACCAGGGCAGCCGCAGGTGGTCCGGTGGGTGTGAAGACACACACGATTTCTGCTATTCACCGTGTCAGAAAAAGGCAACAAGACATGAAGCACATTAGGAATAATGTCCAGTTCCGTTACACACTGGACCCTCCTCAGCTCCATACTTGTTTGATTCAAGTAAACAGGCAAGCCAGTGCCCCCGGCAATAAGGAAAACATGAAATAAATGCAAAGTGAGTCCAGGGAAAAGTCCAAGGAGACACATGGAATAAAACCAGGCCTAGTGCCAGGCGTGTGCTGGGGGGGATCCTGTTGCAAACACGTCCTATTTGTCCTCTCTGCTTTTCTTTCTCTAGTAGAAATACTCCGGAGTTTGCAACAAACGTTTGTTCCCCTGGTTCGCGTTGCTGCATCTCAATTTTTTCCAAGCTCCTTCCCTCCACCCTGCTGACAAACATGGACAGGTCCTTTGTTCCCTCCCGCCCCCCCGCACATGTTCAAGGTTGTCACTTAAAAGAAGATGACTTTCGAATAGTTGCTGAGAAAAAGAAAGCAAACAAATATTTGTTATTTCAGGGTGACTCACACCGATTTCTTTTCTTTTTTGGTTTGGCCACTGAACCAAAACGTAAGATTTTTATCCAGCTGTGCCCGGCAGCTCAAGGCAAAACTATTTCTGCTTCTTTTTACTGCACCTTTCCTAAACTGGGGTGGGGGACCTCAGGCCCAGGGGATGGGTGTGGCCCCCAACTTGTCTGTATCTGTCCCCCAAGCCAAGGCTCAGGGCCTTTCCGCAGCATTGGGGAGTCCTCACTGGCTCTCCAGGCTGCCTACTGTCCCACCATGGGGCTGGATCACACAAAATCTACTAGGCTGGGTCTCTCTAGGCTCTCGTGTGCAAGGGGAATACGGGAAGAGCTTTTTTCCTTCTAAGTTGGGGGCCACCTCAGTGAGTGTGCAGTCCTATATTGATTTTTCTGTGGGCCAGCGGTCCTGATCCAAAAGTTTCTCTGCTCCTGCTGTAAAGAATGGGAGGGCTTGTCTGTTTGTCCCTCCCACACCACCCTATCCTTTACCTTCCTGCAACATCCAACCCAGGGAGGAAGAGAGGGGAGTTGGTTGGGGACAATGTCTCCTCTAATCTTTTCATCCATGTGCAGAATAAATTCTGTTATGTGCACCGAAGCATGTACAGGACCAGTAGAAAAACAAAACCCAGCTGCGGGCATTCTGCTCATCAGCTGGGCAGTAGGGATGTAAAATCCCGATTAATCCGCCCTCACTGGCTCTGTCTGCCTCCTCGCGTTGCTGCTTCTGATCCAGAGGCAGCAGCACAGGGTGGCAGGGTCCTCCCCAGGAGTGGGGCCAGGAGCGGGGGGGGGGAGGGTATTTCTTCAACTGCTAAAAATTGTTGTGGCTGCACAATAACTAAAACACACAAAATCTACAATCCCTCCTCTGAGAACCCTCTTCTTTCTCCTGCTCAGCTGACTCACGTATTGAGGAACCCTGGGGAGAGGTGTCCGGTGCACAGGATGGCTTGGAGTGGGTGCCCTGGAGCTTGTGTTTTAGGGGGCCACATGGGGGTCAGGGCGGCCTGGGGAATCACTAGAGGGAGGCTGGATCCAGCAGCAGGGTTTGGGCACATCTTTTCCTGATGTGGTTTTCTTAAGAGGTTAACACACTGGGGCTCTGTTTGGCTGATGACCATATTTATTCTTAATCCAAAGCACATTCAAATACTGCAGATGCTTGAAAGCCCCATTCCTGGCTTTTCCCCCCTTTCGCTGACCAATCCAGCGCATGAGAGAAAGGCCAAGGTACGTGAAGAATACCGGATAAAGGCAGGTGACCTAGCACGTCCTGTGGCTCTCGTAAGCAATTAGGAAAAGGAGCCAAAAGGTGGGGAAGGCATCCCCCAGAAATAATGGGGGCATGAAACAGAAGTGAAGTGAGTGAATGGGAAACTCTTGTGATACAAAAGAATAAAACATACCCAGTGTGCATCTCGTGGGGGAAATTTGATTTAAAAGGTCTCATGTCATATTGTTCTATGTGTAAGTCCCTTCACTCTCTTTTCTGTGTTTGACAGAAATATCCCTGATTTTGCAGAATTTACTGCTCACACTCTTTATTGGATCTCAATTATTTTCAGTAAAGTTTCTGTGAGAGAAAAAAATTATATACACAGGTCTTTTCAAACACTTTGGCTGTGTCTACACTGGGCCACTTATTCTGGAAAATCAGCCGCTTTTCCGGAATTAGCTGCGAGCTGTCTACACTGGCCCTTGAATTTCCGGAAAAGCAACGATGCTCCACTGTACAAAATCAGCCGCTATTCCGGAAAAACTATTCTGCTCCCGCTATTCTGCAGCCTGCCAATGTAGACGCTCCTTTTCCGGAAAAACTGAAAACCAGACTAAATCATCCCCCGTAGGGTATGTCTAGACTACATGGTTCTGTCGACAGAGCCATGTATTCTAGACATTCTCCCCGCCACCCCCATGTGCATCTCCTGTGGGAAAGTCTGTTTAAAAGGTGTCGTGTTTGTTCTATGTGTAAGTCCCTTTCCACTCTTTTCTGGGTTTGACAGAAATACCCCTGATTTGGCAGAACCTCCTGCTCACACTCTGTGGCTGTGTCTAGACTGGGCAGTTTTTCCGGAAAATCAGCCCCTTTTCCGGAAAAACTTGCTAGCTGTCTACATTGGCCGCTTGAAATTTCCCCAATCAGTTTGTCAGTGTTCTTGCGGAAATACTATGCTGCTCCTGTTCGGGCAAAAGTCCTTTTGCACAAAACTTTTGTGCAAAAGGGCCAGTGTAGACAGCCCAGATTTGTTTTCTGCAAAAAAGCCCTGATGGCGAAAATGGCGATCAGGGCTTTTTTTGCGGAAAAGTGCATCTAGATTGGCACGGACGCTTTTCCGCAAAAAGTGCTTTTGCGGAAAAGCGTCCATGCCAATCTAGACACTCTGTTTCGAAAATGCTTTTAACAGAAATCTTTTCCATTAAAAGCATTTCTGGAAAATCATGCCAGTCTAGACGTAGCCTGTGGGTATTAATTTGAAATAAGCTAATTCCAATGAGTACATCTAGACCCCAAA